GTCTACTTTCCATATTTATAAAATTCTGAACGATTCGGATTATAACATTTTGAAATTGATATTACTAAATAAAAAACATTCTAGCAAAACATGCTATGCACAAATTTTAATAATGGAAAAACCTACTATCTTATAATTAATAAAGACAAAGAAATAATTAATACATGTATACCAATGAAAGTGGAGTATATTTGACTAAATTAAATACCAAACGGACACCATCAAATTGAGTTAGAGACCTGTGTTTCTGAAATCTACTAACAAAAAGATATTTATTTTTAAAAAGACAGTCAACAGTTTCATGACTTTATATTATTTGACCAAAAATTTGTTTACACTTAATGTAGAAATTGCTGAGCAGTTTACTAAGATTCGAATTATTATTATTAAATAATAGACTATGAATGCACCCCGACCTAAAAAATCTATTGTGCGCCTAAAACAATTCTAGACTATTTATAAATCTCGTAAGTGTTGTGGGCTTACTTTTACCGATTTGATTTGGGACAAAGATCCCGCTTTCAAGGTAATCAAGTCTACGTCTTGCCACTGCTGAGCAGTTACATAGAATATCTTCTAACGTTCCTTCTCCTCATGACAGAGTCGACAGGCAACACTTTCTACCGCACCTAAATTCTTCATGAGTTAATTAAGTCTACAGTGTCCTATAGTGCAATATGGAGTTTAATATCGTTTCTGCTAAGGTTAAGGATAGCAGAAAGTCAACTTTGATGTGTTCAGGATCATTGATTCAGGATTAAGTAATTATGGAATTACTCTAGTGATATTTTTACCAACAATATATAAAAATACAAATTCAGAAATTATTCTTTATAGATGGCAATCACCTGTATTAATAGGTAATTCTAAATTGTTTTAATAAAAAGTGCTGCTCTAATGTACTATTTTGTGTTATACTTGTAAGATTTGTAAGATTAAAAAACAGTAACGAATAAGATATAAAGCATATAACTGGGATATTCTCAAAATGGAGATATGAATTGATAATATTAAAAATAAATTTGAGATGATAAAAAATAACATCACAGGAAAGAAGTTCAGCTCTTACTTACCTTGCTGATCGGCTTCGCCTCTCGGGGCATGATACATTGAATCATTGATTGAAGTTTAAAAGAAAACTGCAATATCATTTACTCTGAGGTTCTATTTAAATATTAAAAGAAGTTTTAGTTTTTAATAAAATGTAACAGCTTTGTTAACAGCTGAAATGATCAACTGATAATTATTTAATTATAGTTAAAACTTGGTACTTACTTCTCGGTTCCTATATTTTTTATTTCTCGATAGATAAATTTAAATTATCTTAATATTTAGTATTTCAGCAAAAGTGAAATCCACTTAGTTCTACAATAACTGTACGGACACGGGTCTACCTATTAGGAAAGCATGCAATAAAACTTGTTAAACGACATAACGAAGTTGTGGCTCTGCGACTGGGGCAACTGTATTCCACCTCATGTGTCATTGCCCATAATTGGTTAATGGAAGACTCAAACTCTTTTCTTACTAACCTAACAACGCTGTCATCCTTGAATATAATGGTTCCCAATTTTTTTTTGACGAACGACCACTATGATATTTTTATTTTTTATAGGTTTTAAAGTGTATGATTATATTAATATGCTTTATGCATCTCTGGTATAATGTATAATGAATTTTATAAGTGCATACACTTATACATAATTATACATACACATTATGTGTACTTTAAAATAGGTATTGGAATAAAAATTGGACTATTTTTATGCTTATTTTCTAATAAACAAGGTCTCAGAAGAAAAACTATAAACTATACCTTTTCAATTTGATTCACGCATCCTTTTTAGCCATCTCGCGGACCACCTGTGATCTGCGAACCATCAGTTGGATGCAACTGCTTTAAAAGTAGTTGTATAACCATATATATAAATTCATTTGATTGGTTTTCTTCTACTTAAATGAAGGAATTGAACTTTTTCAATGGAACGAAATTTGTGCAAAAAATACTTCCGATTTATACTATTAAAGTGGTTCTCTATATCTAATGTAGATTAACTAGTCCGTGGTAATACAACAAGCCATAAGTTGTGCTTAACTAAACTTTGACTGCCACTCCAATCTATTACAACCTAATATTAAAAATACATCTATTGAGAGAACCGTTTATGACGAGGCTTTTGAAAAGTAGTTCGATATTCATATGAATGCATATAATATTCTATATCTTCATATAGTATAGGAACACATTCATTATATCTATTGTGAAACGTTGGAAATATTTTAGATGGATTGTGTACTTCAAGATCTCCTATGTATACGGTACTGATATTTATTTATACTTATACTTGCGTTAAACCTATGTATGAGAAGCTAGCAAAAATAATAATAAGAGCTGCAGTAGTTATTTCACTTATTTTCCACACTTGATATTTACTTATAGTCAGTAGTGCAATATAGCGCTTAGATGCAAGCATAAAATGATCATTTATAAATTACTATTATAATAAAATAATATATTTTATTTATATAAAATAAGCATTATCATAAGAAAATCATGAAACCAGCAGCAGAAACAGTGAAAATAATAAAACTTTGATGAGAAGAATAATGTAGTAGAAATTGAGGTGTTGAGAAGAAATATTTCTGTAGAAAACTTCCCATCAAAAATGATTTTAAAACATATTTTAATCATTACCGTTGTTAGAAACGGTAACAATTCTATAGTAATATACAATGGTACTAATTCCCAATTCCTAATTCCTAATATAGTAATGACTAATTCCCAAGATTAAAGACACATAAAATTTATGTGTCTATGTCACGTATTGACTGCGTGCATTGATGAAGTGATCAACTGCTAAACTCAGGAAATTCTATGTCATTGTTTTAGTTTCTCATTATTTATTTGTATAAGATGGAAAATAATTATGGGTAAAATTAAGAAAATATTAACATGAAATGTTTTATTTAAAAAGCAAAATATCCTTATAAACTAATTTCTGGAAAACTTATTTGTTCTATTTATTATATTTTTAATTTCATTAAATACTATATTTTTATCTTTTTATTAATATTATTACTAGAGTATTTAATTCAAACATTGAAAATATTCCAAAATTAGCTTCTCTATATATATTTTAGTAAGTAATATTCAATACTTTTATGGTAGCCTCATTTGATACTGTGATTATTTCAATTCAAGTTATATTAACTTCTGAAAAAACTGCACTCACATATAAAGTCACCTAGCCTATATAGGCAAAAAAAAAATGAAACAAAAACGAAAGTGCCAATAAACAGCACTAAAAACGAAAAACAATAGAAAAAAACAAAAGACAAAATAAAATAAAAAAATTTAGAATTATTAATAATTGTATTAATAATAAAATATTTATATAAATGTTTAGCCTTTAACTGAGCATTTGCTATAGTGAATGAGTGCTGAAATAAGTAATTCACAGTCACGTAATCAATAATGTTTTAATTTAATTTAAATTGACTTCTCTTTACCAAATGTAATGCAAAACCAAACAATTATCTATAATAATTTAGCCTCGCGTCAAGCAATAGCACCACAAGCAGTACAAGCTAAACAAGTACGGACCCCAACACTACACGTATATTTACTTTTTAGGAACAGTAGCAAATTTGTAACATCAGGTAAGAATCGGAACTAGTTTGTTCTGTTCACTTTTTAGTGGTTACTCGCCAACAATAACAGAGCACAGAGTGAGACATGCGAGTAGCATTGTCCAGGTGTGCAAACCTCTGGCACGCACCGTCGAAGACAGAAAAAGCGATCTTTATTGTTTATGTGATCGCTGGCATTCGAAATATTTTCCTGCAACAAAAATTACTTCAGAAAATGTTAAACAGAGAAAAACACAGGAACTGAGAAATATAGGAGAAGAAGGAGAGGAATATTATATGGATTTCTGAATACGGCATATACAATATTTTGATAGCGCATAGCAGAACCACATAAGTTTATTCGTTGGTAGGACTTTAGTCTAAATGAGGGTTAATTTCATTTCGCCTTCCCTTGATATTCACTTTATTTATGCAAGGGGATATTCTGTAATGTTCTATTATTGTATGAAGTTTAAAGTGTACAATATGAGTTAACTGATCAGACAGATCTGAGAGAAATTTCATTGTAAAGACTTAAATGAAAAAAATGTCAATAACACTTATTGCATTGAATATATTATATATATCGCTAATGAATTACCTTATATTCTCAAATAAACTTTTTAACTATTTATCGATATAGTTACTTAATATTGGTCTTTAAAGTTGAAAAGCATCAATAAAGTTACCTAATAGTAGGAATGTGAAAGTTTTGTTAGTGTAACATCTCAAGAAACCTAAAATCTCAAGAACTAAGCTACATTGACATATAGAGTGATGGAAAATCGTAGCAGTTGAGTTAAAAAACTTTCCTCTTTATTAAAATGGATTTGTATTAATTAAATAATATTGCACTTTTTTAATTTTTTTTCAATTTTTTTACGAATATGCGGACCTGGGTGTAAAACCACATTTCACTTTAGATATATGGGTCATAAGCAATTCTATATAAATAGTTTAACTCTGTGTCAATGACGATATTCAGCATTTAAAGTCTAATAGATTCAAAGATATTTATTGTATTTCCATGAGTAATTGATTTATTTAAACCATATTTCAAAATTAAAATTATATTATTTTTTAAATTTAAATTTGTTAAATTTAAAAAAAATAAAACCTATTTCAAATAATTTTTTTTATTAATTTAAATGAATATTATCACTCAATTAATAGTTCACATTCATTATTTTATTATAATATTATATATTACTTAAAATTTCATATTAGATATTATATTCTTTATATTGTATTTTATTAAATAATATATGTATATATTTCTTATATAAAATATTTATGATATATCTAACTATTATTATCAAGAATGAAACATAATTTTAATATATTTATAAATCTTATTTTGTTTTTTTTAGGAGGATTTACGATGGACGACAGAGATAAATAACGCTTTGTTAGTGGTAAGTTGTCTTCTAAACAATATATTCTATACACACGTTTATTAATTATTAATTATAATATTTATCTAGTTTTTATTTTTATCTATAAAAAAAATATCTAAGCATAGGAATTTGAGATACTAATATCGATACTGCATTTATTTGGAAAAAGGGTGGTGGTTTTGACCTCGTACACAATTTCTGCAAAATGCATTTATGCTGTCTTCCAATAAGTCAGTGAAGTACAGTTTCTGCTTAATAAATATTGAAATGATGCAATGATGTTAAAAATACCTATACATAATGAAATATTTATACATATACCCTTAAAGTAATGACATTAGAATCAATAAAACCAATTAATATATTTAGTTAAAAGATTGTATTTTCAAAAAAAAACATTTTTTATATATAGTATTAACACAATGAAAAAATTAAAAATATTTCTTAATTATTTTTTTTTAAATTACAAAAAAAAATGTTAAGGTTATGTAAAATATATTAATTATATAAGTGAGAGAGCCCCATTAATAAAAATCTATTAGTTTTGGTGTTATAAATTCATTTCAGGACTATTTCATACCCTTTAATAAAACAACAACAAATTAATGTAATAGTAACATGATGTAATAAAATAATTATTCTTAAATACATATTTTTAATTTCTAGAATAATTAAAGTACTTTATTTACACTTTATTTGTTTATTATTTATATATTATTAACTGAAAGATATTTTTTAATGTCTTTTTCCTTAATTAGAACTAGTTCAAAATCTAGAAAATTTCTATATGCTATATGCTAATATTATTATTTTATTCTTATTTATTTATATAAAGAAACATTTGTTTTTTTATTATATTAATGCAAATAAAATAAAATTTTAATTTATATTTTTAATTTTCTGTTAAATTTTTTTTCACAAAATAATTATTGATTTTTTTTTAATTATTAACTTTTAATCAGTTTTTCATCGATGTTATCCTAATAATTTCCAACTGTTTTATGTGTATAATATTATTGATTATATATTTTTATATTTTCTGCTTATTATTTTACGATATGTTATTTTACCTTCTACTTCTATCATTATAATTTTATTGTAGGCCACCTATCTCCTTAAAAATTATCACATGCTTACTTCATCCTCTTCTTCTAAACCTCATGCATTTAAAAATGGAGTTAAATGCTCAATTTCAGTGCTAATATTATTATTATTTGTAGAATATAAAAAATATAACATTTTTTTTATTAACCTTTCCTACCAATATCTTTTCAACTTAAGATAATACATGAAATTTTTACTTAACTTATGTTTTTAAAAATATTATAACAGTATATATTTATAATAAGTTTACAAAATATATGCAATATTTCTTTTTAAGAAATATTAAAAAAAGGGACAAATTTTGTTAACACAAGAAGAATAAGATAAGCCAAAATAAAGACATCAAGTTTTATAGTTAATATTTTCCATGCTTATTTCATCGTTGTAAGCATTAGTTTCTAAGGCCAGTCTAATTTTCCCAAGTAAATGGCTATAAGTAATGATCGGTCTCCAACATTTTGTAATTCCATAATTAAAGAAATAACCTCCCGAATACGTAAATAGATCACACCCTACACACAAGAGGTTTGTCATATATATCCGATAAAATTATAAGACCTTGGTTCAAGTGGCAAATAAACTATATGTCAGAGAGATTACACGAACAAAACAGGACAACTTGGTTAGAGCGTATGAGTAATGAAATATATATTTTTGCTCTTTGTTTTAAACTTAGATAAATTAAAAAATTAAAAAGAATGATAAATTAAAAATTCTTTTAAAAAAAATTTTGTAAGATGAAGAGATATTGAAGTATGCGAAACAAAGATAGTCATTTTGAGTTAAATAAGGTTCTGCATTTAACCATCACAATTTCTGAACCCATTTAATGAATAGATTTTAATTAAATATAATAATATAAATAAGATATGATTTATAATTAATATAATAATATATTTTTTTGGGGTAGTTTTTGGGGGTTTTTGAATACAGTTTATTTTTCAAGTTGATTTTTACTTGACCCCATATATTTCCTGTAACATCAATATCAATCCATGATTTTTTTTGTTTTTAATGCCATGGAGTTCTTCGGAATTAGATAGATATAACGGGAGTTGAAATACTATATCTTTTTAAATTAAATTTTGTTTTTAAAAATATCAGAAAGACTTATATATAAACCCCAATAGCTTCTTCATTATAAAAGTGGATCTCTGATTTTTACCGTTTCTAATATCCAGAGAAATATTTCCGGAAAAAAAGATAGAATGCGATTAAGAAAATTATATCTTTTAAAATTTAATTCTAAAACTAAATGTTTTTTAATAAATAATATTCAGATAATAAATATATAATATTATATATAAATTACAGTTATATATCAAAAATATTTAAGATTCGACATATTATATAAAATTATAAAATAATTATGAAATAACGATAAAATTATGAAATAATTATAAAATTATATATAATAATATATCACTATTATATTTTTCAGAGAGACTTTAAAGGCGCAAGTAAGGAGAAAGGAGAGCAAAATCCAATCCAAAATTTAATAACAAAACAATTTAAAAATTGATCATTTGAACCAAAATAAAAGCAAAAGAAAAAGCAAAAACAAAAAGAAAAAGAAATCAGAAAACTGAAAACAAAATCAAATCAAATAAATCCAAACAAAATAAAATTGATAAAAATTAAATGCAAAGAACATTCGCATGTGTGTGGTGGTGGAAAGAAAATTTAAAGCAAAATTTAAAATTAGAAAAAGAAAAAAAAGAAAACGAAGAATTTGAAATAAAGTTGAGTACAAAATTTCAAAGTTTGGCAAAGTAGGACTCGAGCATTCTACGATATATAAGAAGAAGAACAAGCCTTATAGAAAGCAACTGACAACAAAGCAGCAGCCAAAGAAACAGCAAAGCTATAACAAGTTATCACATCACATACATAATTCCTATATCATCCGCGAATTTCATAGCAATAAATAAAATCGAATCATAAATAAAATTACTTCAAATACCAAAATACCAAAATACCAAAATACCAAAACTGAGTCAAAACTGCTATACAAAAAAAAATATAACAATATTTAAATATTTAGACGGAGCAATAATTACATATACCAACTCCAACGCACTAAAGACCGTTCACGTAGAGGGTCGACAAGTCTTAGGCTGGTAAAGACTTAAGTGCTAAAACGAGACAAAATATATTTAACTCAAAACTAAACATAATAAGGAGAAATATCTTATTTGCAGCTAAACAGTATATAACAAAACAATATACAGAACTGCGGCGAATTTATAAATATCAACTTAACTGTGTAAAACAAAGAATTGAAAAATATCTGCCAAAAGATAAAAAAACCCCAACCTAAGTACCCATACCAACACAAAAATTTCAGCTAAACTTTTCAATAAAGTATAAGCAAAAAACTACTAAGCACAAACGACACTTCAAAGGAGAAGAGCATTAGAAGTGTATAGGAGAAAACCGCACTCAATTTAAACGCATGTACATATGTGTGTGTTGACATCGGTAGTCATAAAACATAAAATTCACGGCTTACCTACTTACACACCAACAAAAATTTCTATAAACAAAAACTTAACGAGCCAATAGACGTGGCTTCGCAATCGCACACCGACACCAGTTTCTTTGTAAACACAGAGTGTGGCACGTCACGCGAAACAGTATCTCTGCCAAGAGCCGTAGAACACATGCGTGTGTGTGTTTCCGTCCGTCTATCTTACTAAAAGTATAAAATACCAAATAAACAAGAAAAAGGAGAAGGCCGATTAGTAAACAAACGCACGACACGACTGCATCTGCATATAGAGTGAGAGTATACTGACTCACTCAAACGGGAAGGCGAAGCAAGCAATAACAACAACAAGAAGAAATTAGGCATTTGCTTTGAATTGAGAGTACACGAAGTTGACTAGTGTGAGAGCACGAGTGTGATTACTTCGCTGTGGCTGTTGGCATCTTATGATGTCATCAGAGGAGGACACAGACTGTTTTGGGTTGTACAGTGATGAAAAGTTATTGTTAAAGACAACAACTTTGTCAGCTTTATCGTCGTCGTTGTCGTTGTCGTCGTCGTCGTCGTCGTCGTCGTCGTCGTCATCGTCGTCTGAATCGGAATCGCAACAGCAGCAACCACCACCATCGCAGTTGCTCAAAAATAATATTAGTAGCAACAGCAACAACAACAACACCAACACCAACATTAAAGAGGAAAACGACGATGTCATAGTCGTGCTTGAAGGTAGTGGTGATACGAAAAGTAACTGCAGTAGCAAACAAGTCGTAGAACGAACTGGCGAAAGTAGTCAGTGTGGTGCCGTCAACAAGACAACAACGTGTACCGGAAAGAAAAACGCGTCTTTATCCTTAAAATTGTCGTTGTCATCAACGTCGTCAACGTCGTGTGCTTTATTATTAAATTCGAACTCAGCATTTTTACATACTACCAGTGATAATAATAATTGTGAACCACAACAAAATCACTCAAAAAATTTACTAAATAATAATTGTAGTAATAATAATAATATTAATTGTAGTGAAACGAAATCTTATTCAGCAATTCCAACATTTAACACACAATTAACATCCTTATCTGCCCATACAAGTCCAGCATTATCATTGACTTCGTCGCCACCAATAACGCCGTCAACAGCCGCTGCCTTCATGAGTAGTGCTGCTGCGGCTGCTGCGGGTGCCGCTGGAGGAGCTCTATATGGAGCTTTATTGAGTCAACAGAATACATCTCCAACGTCTTCTTTAGTGTCCGGTACAAATAACGCGAGTGTTAATTCCAATACGAACAATCATAATAGTTCACCTGTGTCTGGTTCCGCATCCTCGTCACCGACCGCATCGCTGCTGTCAGGCAATTTCACAGCGGCGCTCGGTAATCTATTCGGTGCTAACGGTTTCGGTTCAGCAAAAATGTTAAACGAACTCTTCGGACGCCAAATGAAACAAGCACAAGATGCTACCAGTGGTCTGCCCAACACTCTGGACAATGCCATGCTTGCTGCTGCTATGGAGTCGGCAACAAGTGCAGAGCTCCTCAGCGCAGCGGGTTTAGTGAATAGTTTAAATTTAAATGCCACAAGCAAATTGCTCAATAATAATACAATAAATAGTTTGAATAGTTTAAGTAATGCAAATGTCACAAATAATGGTGTCTCCTCAATGGGGGACAACCAACACACTTCATCGCAATCACCAAAGAATCGTCGCATTAGTAACTCCAGTGATCGTTCTTTGGAAGATGGAGTAGGAAGTTCTAGAATAGGTGATGCAAGCTCACCACCGCGAGCACCTTCGGTAAGTGCCAGCACAGCAATAACTGGTGCAACTTCCACAAATAATGCCATAGGCAATGTTTCTCCAAATACACAACAACAACAAAACGACTTAGCTCACCATATGTTGCGGAATATACTGCAAGGTAAGAAAGAACTGATGCAACTCGATCAGGAACTACGTTCTGTGATAAGCCAGCAGCACCAACAGAAAGACAGCCAAGAACTCAAACATAATAACAACAATTCTTCAGCCGCCAACAACAATAATGTCTCAAATAAGTCGTCCAGTAATAATGTGATAAGCCTATTGGAAGATACCAAGCCAGATATACAAATCAAAAGTGAACCAAATGTGCAACACAGTAATGGTGACTTATCATTCACAGAACGACGCAAGTCCTCGGACTCGGATACTGCTACTCTACAAAATGATGATGAGCCACAGTCTGAAAGTGATCACCTAGACCAGCAAGATGTGGAGCCACAAGATGAACAAAGATTATCAGCAGAGTTAGCAGTTGGTGTCACAAAAAAGGAGGCTGATGAGATATTGGAAGACGTTGAACTAATGGGCTTGAATTCCAGATCCGATTTGGAGTCATTAGCTTCACCCAGTAATTCTGATATGATGCTGCTTGATGGTAAGGATGAGCTTGAAGAGGAGTTAGAAAAAGATGCTGCTATGCTTAAAAAGCCAGGTATGGATATGAAACGCGCAAGAGTAGAAAACATCGTATCATCAATGCGCTCAAGTCCCTCATCGCATCAACCACATTTACAGGTAAACGGTTGCAAAAAACGTAAACTATATCAGCCACAGCAACATGCAATGGAGCGGTATGTGGCCGCAGCAGCAGGCTTGAATTTAGGTTTGAATCTCCAAAGCATGATGTTAGATGATGAAGGATCTGATGAGATGGAGTCACCACAAATACAACAAAAAAGAGTAGAAAAGAATGCACTCAAGTCTCAACTTCGCTCAATGCAGGAGCAACTTGCCGAAATGCAACAAAAATACGTGCAATTATGTTCTCGCATGGAACAAGAATCAGAGTGTCAAGACATTGATGATACTGCCAGTGATAGTATTGAGATGGACGAAAATAACGGAGATCTTTCACCATCACCATCACTTACAGCCGAATCCACTGCAAATGATAAACAACATCTGGAGTCTGATAGACCAGGTTCAACATCGCCTAGCACACCACTTAAAAGTTCCAAGCACTTGAATGCACACAATTCAATGGGACTGGACAATACACCTAACATGCTATCACAGATGATGAGTAAAATGATGTCCACCAAGATGCACAATCCATTAGTAGGACATCCACATATGCAACAAGCTTTCAATGGTCCATTGCCTTTGCTGCAACATATGCCACAGTTGCAAGGTGATCATACTGGATCTAATCATATGCCACACTCAGCAATTAGCAATGCCACCGCCATGTACTTGGGACAGCAATTCTTTTTCGAGCAGGAAGCACGTTTGGCAAAAGAAGCTGCTGAGCAACAGGAGCGTCAACAACAACAGCAGCAACAGCAACTGCAACAACAGCAGCAGCAACAGCAACAGCAGGAGCAACAAGAACAACAACGCCGCTTTGAACAGGAGCAGGAACAGCGTAGAAAAGAAGAACAGCAGCAGCAACAACAACAGCAGCAAGCTCAACAACAAGCACAACAGCAGCTACAAAGACAACAACAGTTGCAGCAGATGCAACAACAACAGCTAGAACAAAATAATCAGACAACACCACTGAACCACCGCCCGCAATTGCACCACAATCGCTTACAACAGCGGCACCAGAACCATGCTGCACTGAAATCTGAACTGACTGAGAAATTCAACATGCTGCGGTCCAACTCCAACTCAATAATGCGTATGTCCGGCTCCGACCTCGAAGGACTAGCCGATGTGCTGAAATCAGAAATTACAACCTCACTCTCGGCATTGGTGGACACAATAGTAACACGCTTCGTGCATCAACGCCGTCTCTTTAGCAAGCAGTCAGATTCAGTGGCTGCAGCTGCTGAACAACTTAACAAGGACTTACTAATGGCATCGCAAATTCTGGATCGCAAATCACCCCGTACCAAAGTTGCTGATCGAACCCAATCGAATAATAATATCAGCAGCGGCAACTCCAGTTCGGGACAGTCGACCTCAAACAGCAATAGCAGCATCAACTCTGCCACAAATCAATCAGGTAATAATGGTTCTCTACTTCTAGCTAATAATGTAACTTCAACTAAACATACTAACAACCAAAACTCCAATAACAATCATTTAAACCACTTACAGTCCACTGTAAGCAATGGCCCCCAAATGCTCGCTGGCAATGGCAGTGTAAATATACCTCAACATACACTAGCCAATAGCCAGAATTCTGCTATGGTCACACATAATGGCAATCAAGCAAATTCGCAACACGCACAGCAAATAACCAATATGTCTGTGATGAATGCGCAAAATTGCCAAAACCTCATTGCTGCGCCACGCCTCAACGGCAGTCAATTGTCATTTCCATCGCCAGCAGCAGCAGCAGCTGCAGCGATGGGTCTACAAATGCATCACGCAGCGGCCGCCGCAGCAATGTCAGCGGCTGCTGCTAACCAACAAAATAATAACCAACTCCAAACAGATAATGCTGTCCAAAATATGAACCCTATTAACCCTAATAATACTACTAACAATAGCTTAAATACCATTAATATACCACCTCCTCATATACGTCCTTCGCCCACAGCAGCAACAATGTTTCAGACACCGAAGACGCCACAAGGTATGAATCCAGTCGCTGCTGCCGCACTTTATAATTCAATATCTACAGGTGGGCCAAATCAAATGAATCCATTTTGTTTACCAGAAACACAACAACAACAGCAGCAACAACAGCAACAGCAGCAACAACAACAGCAGCAGCAACAACAACAACAACTGGAACAAAATGAAGCACTCAGTTTAGTAGTTACACCCAAGAAGAAACGACATAAGGTAACAGATACACGTATCACACCGCGCACCGTTAGCAGAATTTTAGCACAAGACGGTATTGTACCACCTAATCCTGCCGGTCAGAATGCTACCAATGCCATGTTAGATGGTAATGGTAAATTCAATTCAATGAATGTGCAACCTAACAACCAACAACAACAAGGCCAACAGAATCAAAATCAAGGCAATTGCAATACAAATAATGCCAGCCTCAATACAGCTGGAACACCCGCCAATATGAATATGTGCAACTCAAATAATGCCAATAATACAACACCCGCGCAAAGTCCTTCACCACGTGCACAAGCACCAACGTATCCGCCTCCACCACCACCACCAATGTTGCCCGTCTCATTGCCAACCTCAGTGGCAATACCTAATCCTTCACTGCACGAGTCGCAAGTCTTCTCACCATATAGTCCATTCTTTAATCCTCATCCACCGCATGCACCACCGCCACAACCTCAACACGGTCCGCATAGTGGTACGCATGCAACGCCAACAGCCGCACAAATGCATCACCTAAAGATGTCATCCAGTCCACCAGGCGGACTCGGCAATATGATGGATTCACGCGACTCACCGCCACTGCCACATCCACCTACAATGCTACATCCCGCCTTGCTAGCAGCCGCACATCATGGCGGTTCACCCGACTACAGCGCACATCTGCGTGCAGCAATGGACGCACAAGATCGCAACTCCGACTGCAATTCAGCCGATATGCAATTCGATGGCATGCAACCAACAATATCCTTTTTGAAGCAGCAAATGATGTGAGTACCACACAGAGTTCTATTTTTTTTTTAAATAAAATATGAGTAAAATCTTAGAAAGTAATAGAATAAACTAGTATGTGATATGTGAGTTGGGTATATGAAATTTTGCTAGTAGAAAATGTGTAATGGAAGAAATCTATATAATGTTAATAACTTTTTGTTCTTAATTTTTATTCGATATTCTTTTATTTTTTTTTTTTAATTTTATATATACTTTGTTCTTACCTTCTTACTTAGCCAACAAATTCTCAGTATTTAGTTTATTTAACTCTTTAAATACCAGAAGCAAGTTAATGCTGATATACCCGTCCTACGGATGGCTGTTGTTACTAGTAGTTCGCCTACTTAATACCTCTTAATACTAAAGAAGGAAGGTAACAATACGAAACCAATCAAGTGTTTCTTTTTATATTTAAACTAAATTCACTTATAGAATGAAATCAAAACCTTATTCCAACAACCCCAATTATTCTTAAGTCTAAGCAAAACTTACGAGTAAGCACGGCAAATAACGAATCTCAGCCAATCTTACCGCACACAAACGCCCCACGAAAACAAAAACAAAAACAAAAACAACCTGCGATAAAATGCAAAATCGTACCGAACTTACTGAATCAAATAGAAAAAAATTGAAATTCAAAAAAAATATACTAGTATAAAAATTTATAAAAAAATGAAAAAAAACTGAAATACCTGAAATAAAATAAAATAAAATCAATGCTAAAATGGTGCTTAAACTGCTGGCATTTATTTCCAAAGAACAAATTCACAGTACGTAACTGCAACTGAAATTGCAACTGCAACAACTGCCACCGCTCAACATTCATTCAATATTCAATCAAAAGTTTCTTCCGTCGATTTTGTATACATACATACTCACACATACATATAAATGCTGCTATATTTTATTTATTTATTTATTTATTATTTTATTTTTGCAATATTGGCAATACTGCGAGCACTCGAAGGCGCAGCCCTGTTTTCTTGTTCTTTTCACTTCTGAACTCAGTCATTAACTTTCAAAATTTATACTTTATACTTTTTTATTATATTTTTTCTTCTCTTCTCTTTTCTTTCTCTTATTTTCATATATTCATAATAAACTTGTTAACCTTTTATAACTGTGAACTGTGCTTTAATATATTTTATTATATTTTATAAAATTTCCATATCACATAAAAGAATTTATTGAAATATTTTACATATAAAAAATTTAGCAAAAACGAATCCCTGTCACCTTTGCACTCGTCGACATTAACTCCAATGCATCTGCGTAAGGCCAAGCTGATGTTCTTCTGGGTGCGTTATCCCAGCTCAGCTGTACTGAAGATGTATTTCCCGGATATCAAATTCAACAAAAACAACACAGCACAATTGGTGAAATGGTTCTCAAACTTCCGGTAAGTGGAATATTTTAATAAATATTTTAAAACTTAAAAAAAATATTTAATTATTATATTAATTAATTAATAATTATTATAATTATTTTTAATAAATATTCTAACACTTAAAGAGAAAATAATTAATAGTCATCTTTTTGAAATTATTTATAAAAATTTAAACGAAATCTTTTTAAACAAATTATCAAATAGAATAGTAAATCCAATAACTTATAGTAAAAAAAAAAACGATTATTTGATATGTGATACTCATCATCGTCATCAATCAAGCAACGATCCTAGTTAAATTTTGACCTCCCTATGTGAGATACTTAATAAACAAATTATAATTCAATATAGTCTATGATCTCTTAGTACATTAAACGAGTATTAAATGAAGCAAGCAAGTATTCACATATCTAAAGGTATATATTTTTATATGTGATACTATATATGATATGTGATACTGAATACAATTTAATATATCTAAAGTAATGATCTTTTAATATATCACATCAAATGGAATAGTAATTCCAAAACATAATCGCAATATAGGGGAAGTTGATAAAAAAAAGTTAAAGGCTAATTTCTACCGATAAATGCCTTTAGTCACAAAAACCGATAATATTTTAAAAACAATTTATTTAAATAGTTTAAAGCGTATTTCAATTATTAGTTCTACAAATGTTCTTCAAAATGACACATCTGAGACTGTGATCTTAAATGGGTTCGGAAATAGATTTTTTCCAAAAATTTTAATTAAAACCTAATATTTTGTAAAATTTTTGCTACATTTTAAATCTATTCGAAATTGATTTCTTGTCATAAGGATGTAAAAATAATTATAAATTCTTTTTCAATCATTTTTATGACTTCAATAATCTTTCTTGATCTTCCATCAAGATTGTCCCTTTTATTAAAAATGTCTTCAATATATGATAATTAAGATCGTCCCATCTACCGTGCACCTTTTTCTTGTAATTATACTCAAATTTTTTTACAAGAACTCAGTAATTTTGGTCATCAGTTCTAGTACGCCATGAATAACCATAGTTACGTAGGCCACACTTAATCACTTTCGCGAAATAGAGATAATATAGCAGTTATTTAAAACAAACTATAATACTAGAGAAACAGTAACTGAAGTTGATAAAGCAAAAGCTACTGAACGGCATTTAATACTATTTTATTGTCAAGTCGACAATCTCTGCTTCTAAGAATATCACAAAGTACCATAGAAGATAATGTGTGTTGTACTCATTGTAAAGAAAAAGCATGATAGAAGAAATTGGAAGAGTTGATTTCGTATTACTATTTCTTATACTACAGAGATATAGTTCCAATCAATTCAAACCTATTGCATATTAAGGTTACGATATTTGCTAATGGAAGTGTCTAAGAAGTGATGTCCATATGGTTCCCACATTTTTGTCTTCAATAGTTTCAATACTTCCTTTCATAGAACAAACGATCTGGTGGACATAAATCAGTACTCCAACTTAAAATGCTTCATCAGTTGCACACTTCTTCAATAACCTATAATATTATTACTGATATATCAATTGCTGTTTTTATTTTATAAATCCCATCATTAATAGAGTAGTAGAAATATTTTTGTAAAAATGAGAGTTCACTTATGTAGCCAATAGATCATTAAAAACATATGATATTACGGTAGCCTTGATTTAAAAGTTAACATTTGCAGATATATATCTTCAGAATAGCGCGTTTAAACTATTTTATTCAAAATGGGGATTTACTTAATTTTTACTATATCTAAGGGTTAAACACAAAAAATGACTTCAACATAATATCTATTAACTATTAATATTTTTTCTCAAAAATTCTAAAAAAGTTTGCATTTCAATTGTTTACTTCTTCAGACATAAAAATTTAATTGAAAACTTATTTAGCTGTCAAGTAAAATAATAGACAAAGCAATGTATATATATATATAAACTTATATGAGTACACTCATATGTAAAAATTGACACTTGCCATGAGAAGAAAAGCAATGATATGTGAAGGTAACATATCAGCACAACTTCGTGCATCCTTAAAACGAAACATTGAAGCCTCGTCTACTTATTTTGGGCATATGAGGTATGCAATGGAAGACCAAAAACAAGGAATCACAATTTAACAAAAGTAAATAATCAAGTCGAAAATGTATTTATTTTGAATATTCTGAAAATTGGATGTCTTGTGCCAATTGCCAAATATTAGACAACCGTTCAAGTATGCAATTTCCGTATCTAAATGCGATTGTAGGTTTGTGTCGAATGTGTGAAAATACGTCAAAGTGCAAGTGCAGCTACTCAAATCCTATTAAGTGAAATATCGAAACTGTCAAATTTAACTGTAAAAATTTATCTAACATAAAAGCAAGTAATTGTTTATAAGTTTAAGGAAATTTTTACCCATGAATTTCAAAAAGAAAAAAAATTTTTTTTGTGAAAGAAATATTGCTTTGAAAACTCCAACTCATAAGTATAAACTCGCTTAGCCGCTTTAAGTAACTGAAAAATATTTAAAAGCAATTTAAGTAAGAAAATATCTTTTAGGTAATGAAGAAAATTGAAGAATTATTAATTCATAATTCTTCAATAGCAAAATTAACTAAAAGATTGGAAAAAATATACTTTTTGCCTAATGCGATTTTTATTTTGAAATCCTGCAATGCTTAAAAGACTCAATATATAAAAATGTAAACAAAAATCCTTTTAACTGAAGAAATTTTATTGTTTGTTGTTCTTCATTGAGTTGCGCGCCAAAAGCCCAAAATCCTTAAATCTCAACTGAAGCCAATCTACCACAGCTGTCTTAAGGCGCATACAATGTATTCGTATCTAAAATATATGAATGTGAACGTGAACGTGTAGTGCGTGCCATAAACGGCTATGCTCAAATCAACATAGTTCACCTGGTTTGGCTACGGAACAACCCTCAGCACAAATGTCATTCACACACGAAGACATTCCTGAAGACAGCTGGTCTTTGAAAATAAATCCAAGACGTTGCCAGTAACGTCTTAAGACATTGTTCACTGCACTCCAAGCAGCCAGTGTGCATATGCATTATCGTCGATGAATGGCATTAATTTGTAGATAGAGAAGTGCAGGTAATGAGGAAAAAAGGCATTGGAAACAAAATAGGGGAAGTATGTAGTAGAATGAATCAAGACACGTACCGAGTTTTTTGTGTGAATTTAAATTTTGCACCTTTTCTGCATTTCTCAAATTATTATAATTTTTCATTACATATGTTATTACATATCCTCAATATATTCTTTATTGTAAACAACAGAACAACAGAGACCAAAAGGCATTAAGCTAAGGGTAACCGAAGGATAGACAAAAGAAAAAGCAGAGACGGAACTATATTTTAAGAAAATTGATTTGAGTTTCTTACAAAATCAAACTACGAACTCTTAAACTCTTAAGGGTTGTCGGGTTGTCGTGAGTTTGCAAGGATAATGTATAGTACAAATGCTATTCGTTCTTTGCATGGGAATTTCTTGATTTTTTTTTTAAAGATGAATTGGTTTGATTGTGCGCATTTATACTTAGGTATTACTTTTAGTGTTACTTTTTTATCTTGTATTTACTTTTGTACCTATTTTGTTTTCTTCTCTTCTTATATAAACGTTAAAATGGGTGGGAATAATATTGACAACGTCTTCGAAGTTACTGCCTCAAGAACATAAGTTAAATGTTTTAGGGGTTAAAAGGAATTGTAACGGATTTTTTAAACAAGTTTGCCAAAGGATCTACTTAAAGTTGAAATTTTGATATTTTTAAGTTGACTGCAAGTAAAAAATTTTTTATTTATTATGAAATAATGTTTTCGCAGGCTAATTGGACCAATTATCAGGAAACTGTGAAAACTCTATATTAAAAATAAAAAACTTTATTACATGCTATAATGTACATATTATATATTATATATATTAGAAAAGCAAATAATGTAAATAGTTATTGGAAGTATTGTATATTAATATATATAATATATATGCACCATTTGTTTTTCAAAATGTATATTAACTTAATTATTAACATTTTTCTTTATTTTTTATTTTCCAAATATTCTGTTTTATTAAAAGAACTGCTCTTTTTTATATTGAAATTGCACAAAAATGCTTAACAAGGAGACGTGGCTTTGTGCTTACTATATAGCACAACAGAACTTATAGATTCCACTTTATTATTGTCTCTTCTTATAATAAAATGTACTTCTTTTAAGATAGTAAGGATTTTTTGTCTGCAAACTTTTTAGATAAATTTCTCCTCCACCACCTATATCTCGGTTAATATTGGATACAGACCTCACTCTGCTCCCATATAATTTTTTACAGCCATTTGTTTTGCTTTTTAAAGCAAGGAATCTAAAACTAAACCCGTTCTATTTATTTTTGCTATTTAGTTAGAACAGATACTATTTTTAATCATTTTAAATGATTTTAATCAATTCGAAATGTTGTATGACTTATCAATTATTATCTAAGCAGGTTACTATTCTCTAGATAAGTCTAGATATAATAATCTCTTTATGTTTGTGAGTTAGTAGGAAAATCATTTATGCAAATATAATAATAAAAAGAAAAGCTAATTTCATATTTAATAAGCTAGCTTCACCCTTGCAAAGTGGAAAGGAAAGGCAAAAAATTCGTATCCCTACTTCAGCACATGCATGTGTGAATAGTCATGTCAATTGTCACTTGCAATTCTGAGAAGGAAGGAAGTCGTTTTCGAAATGCATTTTCAGCACGGCTCTCCATATGCGCCTCATGCGACTGCCGCATACCATACCGTATGAGGGCCATTTGGGGGTCGTATGAGGCAGCGTATGCAGTGCAGGTAGGCGTAGTTGCAACTTGCTGTAGAACACTTATGGCACTTAATTTTATGCCTTTTTTGTGTGAATAAAAGCGCTCTTTTTTCTAAGGGTCCTTTTGCCACAAAAGGTAACAGTTAACACCTTCAGTTTTTGTGATGTGCATGTGTGAAAAAAGCTACAAAATA